CCCCCCGCCAAGCCCACCCCAGCTCAGGGGACAGCCCCCAGACCCCCCCACCCCAGGGACACTCACGGTCGTAGTAGCCCTTGACGGTGCAGACCAGGCTGAAGAGCTGGATCACCCAGCAGAAGTTGCTCTGCATCTGCTGCACGAAGACGCAGGAGAGGAGCTGCGGGGAGAGCGGGCAGAGCGCGGGGTTTGCTCGGGGGACAGCCACCCGTCCCCTCCCCAGGGGATGCCCAAGGGGTGGGTGGTCCTCAGGAGCGGCCCAGGGCCCGGCACCCTCACCGACAGCATGTTCTTGGAGATGATGACGGTGATGTTGTAGAGGATGAGGCAGTCCCAGAGCACCAGGCGCGCCCGTGCCGGCTTGCGCAGCATGGCGGTGCCGAAGAGGAGGAGGTAGAAGCAGGCCAGTAGGTAGCCGAGGCCGAAGAGGCTGATGCGGGTGGCCCCGGTGATGAAGACCACCACCAGGACGAACCAGAAGAGGTAGCGGAAGACCACCACCTTCGCCATGTCCAGGTACGAGCTGCGGGATGGGACGCTCAGCACAGGGTCCCCGTCCCCTCCCAGCACCCACACTCGGCACTGCCTGGGCAGGGGGTGCAGCGAGGTGCTGCCCCACGCCCCAGCCAAACCAGCATGGTCCCAGTGCCCTGCGTCAGCCCTGTCTCGGGGGACAAAGTGCCTTATCCCAGTCTACGGGGTCCCAGTGCCCAGGGGGGTCCCCACACCGTCACCAGGGCTGTCCTGGACCACTGCATCTCCTTCCAGCACAGCCTCGGGGTGCTCCTGTCCCAGGCCTGGGGGTACCACCCTAGTGGCACGGGGTCCCGTTCCAGCCCCGGCAGGGGTCCTGTCCCAGCCCTGACTCAGGGGAGGGCTATCCTAGCCCAAAGGGGTCCCAGCACTGGTGGGGTCCCATCCCCATCCTGGGGAACCCCAGCCCAGCAGGTCCCACTGCCTGGGGGTCCCATCCTGTCCATACCCCAGGGGGTACCACCCCAGGGAAGGGATCCCATCCCAGGGAAGGGGGTCCCATCCCCACAGCCCCAGCCCGTCCCAGCCCCGGCAGGGGTCCTGTCCCAGCCCTGACTCAGGGGGAGGGCTTCACCAGACCAAAGGGGTCCCATCCCCATCCTAGGGAACCCCAGCCCAGCAGGTCCCACTGCCTGGGGGTCCCATCCTGTCCATACCCCAAGGGGTCACAC